AAAGCAAATTATTATATTTTTGAGGTGGATTTACACTGCACTTCTTTAAAATTGTAATGTGCTTATGACTCGACTACTCATTTGAAACTAAAACACTGTTAAAATCTTTATATTTAAGGTTAAAAATGCAAAAATATTAATGTTTTCTTTTCTTTTTTTTTTCAATTTGGCCATTTTTTAAAGATTTAAATCCACATCCCACTAGGTTCTCCAAAACTGTTACCTGCAAAACTCCTCTAATGTACACAGACATTATTATCTGACAAATGTAAATATATGAAAACACTTTAATTTAGTTGAAATTGTGTTTTAAGTATCAGAAAAAATATAAATTGTGTCAAACTTTTGGACAGAATTCTCCCAGTGTGATGTCATCAGTCTGATCTCTATTTACTGTAATTTTCAACATATTTTTCAACTTTTCTTCACTTCAGGAGCAATTTGGTTATTGTTTATTGTAAAACTATAATTTATATTTACAAAACAAATTAAATAAAAAATAGAGAATCATCCAAATCTGTTTTACGCGCTTTAAATCAAATGCGTAACGCGCCTTTGTGTTGTTCATAATATTATTGCAGTATAAAAGAGTCAGAGATTATTTATCTAACAGAAAATGGAAAAAATATTAAATCAAGAATCTGATGTTATGAATTTGAATATATAAATATTTTTAAGTCGTTTTTGCGCAGCTGCGTCCAGAGTCGCGCGGTGCTCGTTTGTGTCCGCGCGCTCTGCGTTTGGCACCGGTGTGGCACCAGAGGACATCTGTGTTTGCTGCCCGCGTGTCTCCAGATCCACATCAACACGTGTCTCATGCGCGTGCACGTGAGCCCCTGGTCTCTCCAAAGGGATGTGGGGTGTGTGTCTCTGCTTCTGTGTGTGTGTGTGTGTGTTCTGTGTGTGTGTGTTCTGTATGTGCGTCGGGCCTCAGCTGCACAACACGAGCCTCTGTGAGAACGGAGCCGTGCGCGTGAGGGGTGCGCGCGCTGCTGCTGTGACAACAAAGTGCGTGACCCGTGCGTGACCTCGGAGGCTTTAGAAACCGCTGACGTTTCTAATGAGCCATGTGCCCATCCGTTCGGAATTGTGTAAGTTTGAAAAAAGAAAAAGGCAAACACACATTTTACGCGCAACTTCTGACCTACATTCAGACCCTCGACTCTCAAACACAACGTGATCTTTCTTAATCCCGCGTGAATGCGCTCGTGCATTCATGTTGTCACCGTGTGGAAATATAGAGCTCGATTATAAAACAGCTCACTCATCATTTGTCTTTTACTGCGGATATTTTTGGATCTTTCGTGTGCGTAATGAAAGAAAATAAAGAAAAATAAATCCGTTTACAATCCCACGTTCAAATAGTATTTTTATGAAAGGAATCAATAAATTATCTTTAAAAACCTTTCAGTGATATTAAATGATATTAAAACGTTATAAAATCCGCGCCCCTTTGGAATCTCTGTGTGTTTGTGAATCAGAAAAGTGTTGATAAAACATTCTTTCCTAAACGTGGCTCGTGGCGCCGCGCGCGCCCTCCAGGATGTAAAGTTCATGTTTGGCCCTCAGCTCCCGGTTCGTGCACGCGCTCAGGGCCTCGGACTGTTTACACAGAAACACGCACTCACCTCGACCCCGCACAGGCCGCGGGGTCACGCATGCGCAGTAGGACTCTGATCCACCTTTACGCATCTGTTATGTCCAAACGCGGCTCTGTTTTAACGTGATCACGGTTTTTCTTTGACATGTTGGAGGAAATAAACGAGGGCAGTTTGTGGATCATTTCACTAACAGACTGTGGTGGAAGATGTACTTTTGTTACTTAAGTAAAAGTACAGATACAGGAGAAAAATAAATAAATAAATAAATAAAAGTACTGCATGAGAATATCACCTTAAGTAAAAGTATTAAAGTTTTTAGATTCTAATTAAGCTTCAAACGTGCACATTTTGATCAAAATTTGTGCAGAATTCTTTGTATTTTTGTTGCTAAAATAAAACAACAAACATGTTAAAAAAAAAAGAAAAAATAAACACTTCTGCCTTTTCAGCAGCTCTCAGTAATAAGTAAAATAAAATAAAAACATAGTTTTACTTTTCAGTCCTGTTTGTTGAACGTACAGATTCACGTTCTCAAATGTAGTGACGTAAAAGTAAAAAATATCCACTTTGAAATGTTCTTAAATCGCAAAAAACTAAATCTAGGTCACTTAAAATGACTTAAATTAAAAACGTTTGACTTTATTTGAGTCGATTCAACTTAACAAGTCAAATGATTTACCAATGGAACAAGTGCAACATTCGATCTTGTTTCATATTTTAAGCGCAAAAGTTGTTGTTTTTGTTATTTTAAGTGTAACGAGATTCGTATTTTCATATTTTAAGCACAAAAAGTCTTCGTTCCACTGGCAGATCATTTGACTTGTCAAGTGAAATTGACTCAAATCGTGATAAAACTTTCTTTATTCAATCGATTTTAACGTAACTAGATTTATTTATTTATTTATTTTTTGTGGTGTAACTACAGATTCCTAAATTGTTTACTTGAGTGCACTATTTTACGCGTTTTACTTTACTTTGTTACGTTGCTCCACTTCATGTTTTATTAGAAGCAACATTTTTGGACGATTTTTCAGCGTTTAAAAAAATAGCACATCTGGTTTTAAATTGCTAATTACCATGGCAACGGTCCTAATTTTGCCTCATTCTGAGACAAATCGATGACTGTAGTTTCTGTCGTGTTTCGTGGCTCTTTTTTTTTTTTTTTTTTTTTTTTTTTTTTTTTTTTTTTTTTTTTTTTTTTTTTTTTTTTGTGGCACCACATCGCCAAAACGAACTCCTGCTGTAAAGTGTGAAGGAGAAGGAAACACTTTGACACTTTGGCCTTTTTCTGCTCTCTGTCTTTTTGTATCTGTGTTTTGTTTTTTTTGTTATTTTTTTCCATCTTCTATCGAGGGACAACAGATGGAAATTGGGCATGTCTGACATATTTACACTGTAATTAGAGATTTTCCAGCTTTTCATGAACACGCACTGTCCCTCAAATAAATAAATAAATACACTTTTTGACATCGTTCACTGACAAAAGCAACACAAGCGTCTGATTTTTTTCAGTTGTCAGTGAAATACAAGAGTATTTGCTTTTGTCCATCGGTAAAAAGTGATATTTTAAAACACGATAATCAATGGAAACACTGAGAAGAGAAATGAAGGCCTAAATAATCCCGTTTTTCAATGCTGGGCCTGAATAAAACGCGTGTAAAAGTGGAGTGATCGTTCCGCGCCCTGCACAGTGTGGCCTGTTTGTGGTTTCGTGTGGGAGAATGCGGGACTGGCGCAGGTGGATCTGGAGGTGAACGAGGTGGAGGTGAACGTGGCTCATTAATCACGGCGCTTTCAGGTTCCTCTGCCCTTTTATGGAGAGATGGACTCGCCCCGTGCACTCCAGGAATCACAACAGCCCCGCGTGAGGAGGCTCTGCGGGACAAACACGTGCGTCTAACTCTGGATTTACTGAGGGGTTTAACCTGGAGGAATAATGAACTGAAAGAAATAAACATTAACTTTATCCAACACGAATGCACTTATTTATACGAGCAGCCGAGAGCAGCACAGTGTCTCTACAGTGTTTGATGTAAAACTCTGTGAGGGTTTATCACGCGCAGAAAAAACATGTTTAAATGATCAGAGTCTGAGTCTGTGCACTTCACGTTTCCTCTGGAGCCTTTATAACATCTTTATAACATCTTCATAACATCAGGCTCGGATTTATTGCTGAAGCCCTGAAGAGAGGCCCGGATTTCTTATTTTTGTTTGTTTAAAAAAAACAAAAATATAAATAAAATAAAATAACCCCAAAACACATGTCATAGTTAGTTATGACTAAGTTTAGGTAGTTTACGTTTCATAATAAAAAATAAAATCAAATTCTTGATTCAGGTTTTTTTCTCAAAATAGAATCACATTTGAACAGTGATTCTCCTGCACATTTGCCAGTTCATTTCTCCGCTGTGTGATTGACTTGTAGCTGTGCTCGTGCGCGGTGGTCAGATAAACACGAGACCTCTGTGTAAGCTGGGGCCCGGGGCGCGCGCTGACAGGGGCCACAGGGGCCACTGAGCCTCATCTTTGTCAATACCTTCACCTCAGTGTTTTGGATCGATCCCGTTTGCTTTTGTCGCGGTATAAGCTCTGAGCTCGATGAGGTTGTCATCACAGATGACACCCTCTCCGTGGATAAACACGCGCCGCGCACCCCTGGGACGGGCGCGCGCACGGCCGCATACATTGGAGGGATGGACAGAGCTTGGACAGAATGACGCACGGCGTGTGGAGTTAAACGCACTTTAATGACATGATTGACCCGTAGACGTCTCTTTGGACAAACATTTGTTTGGAATAAATAGTTCACAGTTAAAAGCTTTACACAACACACTCATGACCAGCTCCAGTCGAAGCTCCACACTCACACACACAGGACGCGTTACGCACGGTCCCCACTGCACGCGCACACACAGGGATCAGGAGCGGGAAACAAGGCCGCCTCATTGATTGGGTGATGCCCACGTGACATGACGACATCCAGTGCAACATCTTTGGCACATCTGAGGTATTTGCAGCACTGATTATGTGCAGCCCGGAAACACTTTGGCGCAAACAAAGCTCTGGATTCACTGCAGTAAATGTACAAATGAATAAATAACCCACAGTAATAACCCGACGGTGCGCTAACGGGCATCCGGGATAACGCACTCACACCGCCCCCTCCACACCCCCCCAGCAGAGCACAGCCTGACAGGAGCAGCTTCAACACGCGCTTCTACTGAGCAGATTAGTTTAAAGTGTAAAACGTCCTCAGATGTGATTGGATCAACAGAGTGTAAACAATAACAAAAGTACAAATGCACGCGCCCGGGCACAATGTTTGGGACACACTGATCCAGGCCGCGTGAGGCTCAGAGCGCATGTCTCTGCTGGACTGTCCTCTGTCTCTGTCTGAGGTTAGTTTGAGGAGTAGGGGTCAGGTCCAGCGGTGGAGCTCGTGGAGGACGTGGGGGACGGTGTGGACGGCGCGGACAGAGATTTGTCTGACGCAGCGTCGTCCGTTCTGTCCTGGCCGCTGTCCGGCAGGTCACCGGAGGACGAGGGTTTGGCGGGAAGGAGCCCCTCTTTCTCCCGCTTTTTCTGCTTCATCCTCCGGTTCTGGAACCAGATTTTGACTTGAGTCTCGTTGAGCTGAAGCGCAGCGGCGATCTCCACGCGCCGCGCGCGGGTCAGGTACTTGTTGAAGTGGAACTCCTTCTCCAGCTCCGTCAGCTGTTTGGTGGTGAAGTTGGTGCGCACCGTGTTGGGTTGGCCTCCGTAGCCGTACTCCCCGGAGCGTCCTGCGCGTAACAAGCCATGGTCAGTCACGTTACACAATGGTGCGTAAAGACGCGTCACACAAACTGGAGACTTCCACATTTCCACTGTAAATCTAAACGCTCACTGGGCTTTTTGGGGCTGACGTGTCACTACAACTTTTACTCTGACGTGATCTATGAACCAGGTCAAGGGTCAACGTGAGGGAACAGGAAACATAAATAATGAACGTTTAAAAGAAAATGAGAGGAAACCAAAATGGCACAGAGCAGTAGGACATGCACCTAAACATTATCACGTGCGCCCTCTCAGTGTTGTGTAATACAGTTATTGTGCTGCTGTGAAGGCACAGCCGTGCCAGATGTGCTCTGTCTGATGTTGGAGAGACTTTTACGCATGGCGCAGGAGCCTGTTGGTTCTGCCACATGAGACACTGTATGTCTGATAAACCCAGTGTGTGACCCAGTGTTTTCTGTGTCAGCACTTTTTAAATCCACCTTTTCCCCGTTCGAGCCCTGTCCTCCTGAAGTTCAGCCTTGACCCTGACACCTGCACGCACCTGTTTTGGGCGGGTTCCTCTTCACTTTCATCCAGTCGAAGGTCTGCGCGGAGGCTGCGCTCTCTGACAGCGGGGAGCAGCACGTGTCCAGGTGCGCAGCGTGGAGAGGTGACAGCGGGTTGGCACAACCGGGGAACGCGCTGCCCTGCTCGTGCCCGCCTCCGTAGGCCGCGTGCGCGTACTGCAGCTGACCCAAGGGCGCCGCTCCCGCCGCTGTGGTGTAACTCTGACGGTGCTGAGCCACCACAGAGGAGGTGATGTTACCCGAGTAAACCAGCGGGCCACACTGCGGGAACCCGTCCACTTCCTGATTGAGGGCGTAGTGATTGTAAAAAGTTTGCGGCGCGTAGCCAGAGGTGCACGCGCCGTAGCTGACACCCAGAGACTGGTACGACCCCGCCTGAGGCGGAGGGACCCCGTCTGGAGGTGACGCCCGAGTCCCCATGAAGCGCTCATCCGCCCCGCAGGTGTTCACGCTCACGGCGCACGACTGGAAACTCGTAATCCCGTGTTCTGAGTGGAAGGCCCGGACCGAGCACGAACCCGCGTCCCCGCTCATCACAGAGTAGTCTAAGAAGCTGCTCATGGTCGCATCGTGGCGTCAAATGTGGATGTGCGTGCCCCGAGTGACCAGTGCCAACCTTTACCTTTGGACGCTCGGGCGCGGGAGGGGGACATATCAATGAGCGGGCTGCGTGTCACGTGGGCGCGGGTCAGCCAGTGAGCGCCCTGTCCTTATCCCCTCGCGCACGAGCCGCTGACAGATCGGCGTTTGAGCCTATTTAAATTCCAGGCCACTCGTCGATCAAGGTGACGCGCGTCGCCGCTAATGTATTGTCCGAGCAAACAATGAGCCGCGCGGCAGACGGAGCGGAGCGGCGGGACGAGAGCCACCGGCAAACAGCTCCTGCCCGGTTAGACCCGCGCGGACCCCCGGGGGGAGATTAACGCCTCAGCCTCGGGAGGACGACGCCGCGCCGTGACCCAGGTGCGGTATTTTTGGAGCTCGTTGGATAAATGTGAGTAGATGCGCGCGGAGGGAGCGCGAGGAGAAAGGCGCGGTTGTTGAGGAGCCGCGGCCGTGTCAGGGGTTGGATGGATGGGCTCGCGGTGTCACTGCCACAGGCGACGTCTGGACACTTAAAGTTAAAGCTTTAAAAATAGAAGGCGCGGGTTTGAGCGCTGCGTAAAACCAGTGAGACACATGTTTGATTCTCCTGTTTGTGAGTCTGCAGATTGTCTGGTTTGGTTTGATCGGTGGTGTCAGGGAATTTAACAATAATAAGGTTAATTAATGAATTTTTATCTTTTAGATGCTTTGTATTACAGGACTTGGGTCACGTGACCTGCAGCACAACTCCACTGTTGCATGTGAAAATATTATTATTACATGAAGATCACAGAAGTGTGACCGTATTTCTGTTTTTTTTATGCCTTAATGCAGAGCTCATTAACAAAAAGACTTAGACCGAGGCTTTCATGTACTAGTCCTGTCACCCCACTCACATTTCACACCTGATTTTGATTCTAAGGAACAGACTCAATACTCAATATCGATTCTGATAGAACAATGATGATAAAAAACGTCTTCTTTAGACAATAGAGTGTGATTTTCCACATTAAATGGTTGAACTTTCTTTTCAATTCCTATATGTCCTTATATCTGTGAAATCTATCAGTGGTCCAGCATCTAAACCAGGTCTAAACCGGCTCTAAACCGGGTCTAAACCGGGTCTAAACCGGGTCTAAACCAGGTCTAAACCAGGTCTAAACCAGGTCTAAACCAGGTCTAAACCAGGTCTAAACCAGGACTAAACCAGATCTAAACCAGGACTGAACCAGGACTGAACCAGGTCTAAACCAGGACTGAACCAGATCTAAACCGGCTCTAAACCAGGTCTAAACCAGGTCTAAACCAGGTCTAAACCAGGACTAAACCAGGACTGAACCACATCTAAACCGGCTCTAAACCAGATCTGAACCAGGACTGAACCAGGACTGAACCAGGTCTAAACCAGGTCCATGGACGTACACTAGTCTATGTGCTCTTATACTTTTATTTTGTACGATCATAAACGATAAACTTTTGTGCCTTCGTTAACATTATTATCAGTTTGTACGACCATAAACAGAAAAAAAAATGTCATGTTTAAAAAAATGAAGATAAGAACCAAGAAACAAAGTGATTGATCCATATTCTAACTCCTCTCACAGAAATACAATCTGAGTGATAAGCGTTATGTTTGGAAAGATACAGAGCTCTGGAATGAACGAATTATGCTTTAAAATTGGTTTTAATTTAGATTTTGTCTCTTATAAGTCATAAGTGAAACTGTAAACACAAACTTGATGTTCATACGTCGCTTTTCTTTCTTGGAATTCCGTCGTTGTTTAATAGGATTTGGCTTTAGAAACACTTTTGACTTCAGCCTAAACTGTTTCGGTCATGATCCATGGGGTTGTAGTTTATGTTTTGTTTAGATTTTTTTGTTTTGTTGTGCTGCAAAATGACCGATTAAACTACTCCATACTTGTTCCGATCCAGCTCCAGATCGTTCTTAAGATGCTCAGGAAAGATTCACTTCTGTCCTGTCTTCTTGATACCAGTCTTTTGCTACTTATTTAGAAGTTTATTAAAAAAAATTTAATATATTTTTGGTCTTTGTTTTATTATATTGTGATGTGTGAGCTGCTATATCCAAATAATTTCCCTTGTGGATTAATAAAGTCTAAGTCTAAGTCTAATTTTGATCATTTTAATATCGATTAGTATGAGATTTTTAATAATAACACATGGGAGAAGAAACCTACATACACAATTTAGTCTCAGGAGAACATTTATAATTTCAGGTTTTGCTGTAATTGTCGACTTTTGGAAGGAAGCGAAGACGTGGAGCTTCTCGTGAGGTTAATATTGTTTTAGTCCGGCGATTAATTAGTTCATACGTTTCTTCTGTGGTCAACGAAACAAAAAATACGATGCGGAATTTGAGCGTAGGAGCCGTACTGACCCCAGCCCGTGTGAGGTTTTTGGAGGTGGTGGTTTATCTGCGCTCGACTCATCCATCAACGCCACCGGGACACGCAGCCGCCCGGGACCTTCTCCAGATGTTGAGCTCCAGACTTCGGGACGACTGAGACGAGGGGAGAATACACAAAGTCTGGAGAGAGAGTGCGGGTTTTGGAGAGAAAAGAGAAGAATAGAATAGAGAGAGAATAGAGAATGCAAAACGTGAGAGAGAGAAGATTTATGAGGTCGTATGAACGTTTGTTGTTACGATTAGTGTCCATTGTCCAATTTAGCTTGATGGTTTTGTAGGTTTTAAATGTTTAAAAAGTGCTGTGGTCCTTTAGTCATTCAGTCATTAGACCTTTTTCACACACAAACTGGTGCTCAATACTGTGAATAATTAAAATATGTGCGTGTTTAACATGTTAGAATGAGCCGTCATCTTTATTCATGCTCAGGTCCTTAAATCCAAACACTAAATATTAAATATCAGCTTTATCAAGGTAGGTTTTCAAAAAACTTGCAGTAAAAAGTAAAAATTTTAATTGATGCATGGTAGCTTGGGCCAATTCACCTGGAAGCCTGAGGGCCAAAATAAAATTGTCTGAGGGCCGCATTTGGCCCACGGGCCATAGTTTGGACATGCCTGGATTATAACGTTTTCTATGTGACAGCTGCAGAACACTGAAGGTAGTGACTAAGAGAGTGAACTGGAGATTTGGAATTTCTGTGTAAAAACTCAGATTAAAATCATGATTTACAAGTTGTCTTTATATAAATTCACCGTTTCTTCGTTCCTAGTTCCTTTTTTCTGCATAAATAGTAGTTTTTGCGTGAACTCCCCCTGCAGGTGGGGTCTTGTGAGTGCAGTTTGGATCAGATACACAAAGATACAGAGAAGTTTTGAGAGATTTTGTCACCCATCTGTGCTAGAACTCCAATTAAAAGTGCTGTTCTTGATTTTTAAAGCAAGTTTGAAAAGGTTTGAAGTTTTTCCTCACTTACCTTATGCATTCTGATCCTCATCCTCATAACTATTCATCACGGTAAAACTAAAAACAACGAGCATACTAACTCCACTCCACTTCCTAATTAATGGACAAAATATTTAATTAGAGGGAAACAGAACCCAGCAAACTTATTTTGACCTAAAGAGCTGATTTTACTGTACCGATGTGAGAACATAGACCCCGTTTACACTGAACCGAATCCGCGTATCACGGTCTCGGAAATGATCTGCGTCCAGACACGTCGTTTCTGTGTCCGTAAGTCTTCTCTGTCCACACAGATTTGAGCGTATTTGTTTACGTTTTACAGAAATGAAATTTAAAACCACATGACTCATTTGCATAAACTGAGCTCAAAAAAACCCAACTTGTTATTGTGTCGCTGATGCGGTTCAGGTTCTGTCAGACTAAAGGACTCGACTCAGTGGAATATGAGTGTTCTTTCTGTGACAGAGGGGTGTTCTGCTGATGGTGAGTCTGTTCTGTGTTTCTGTCGTGTTGGAGATGGTTCATGTGAAACTTTTCAGAGATTATACGTCTGCAGGTCGTACACACAGACACACGTTTATATGAATGGACAGATATTCTAGCCTCTTAATTTTTTGGCGGTGAATTACTTTGCGGCGCACAGAACTACATCAGAGTATCAGTATTTTCAGGCTTCCGGATCAGATCTGTAACAACATGAATTCGTGGGAGTTGGAGGAACCAGATCGTTTCGTCTCTGGAGCCGTTTTGGATCAGATTATTGTGAACGAACACTGCATCCACAACGAAAACGACTCAAATACGAACTAGTGTGGACGGGGCCTAAAAAGAAGTGGACTAAGTGAGTGTGACGTCACCCACAGCGTCGTTCAGGGATTGTATTTCTGTTCGAGGGGTTAGTGTGTGGTACAACCTGAGTGATGATTTCAAAACAGTATAAATCGTTACGTTTTGAAAGATAAAGAGCTCTGGAATGAATGAATTATGCTTTACATTTTGTTTGTTTTAATTTATATTTTGTCTCTTATATTTACAGTGAGTCGTAAATGAAATTGAAAACACAAACTTGCTGTTCATACGCTGCTTTTCTTTCTTGGAATTCTGAAGAAGAGCGCTAGTGAGCAGTCGAAACTGTCAGGTATGAAAACAAAGCCTTAGTCTGAAAAAAGACCCTAATAACATATCGTATTTTATTATTAGTCGCTCTGGATTATAAGACGCACTGTCATTAAATGGTCTATTTTCGAACTTTTTTCACAAATAAACCGCGTGGGACTTTAAAGGAAACACAACAGTGTGATGGGTGAGTGGTTTTGTTTGTTTGTTCGTTCACGGTGACTCTGGGCTTTGTTCAGTTGTGGCGTGTAGGGAGGGTGTGTCTGGGACCAACGGATTGTCGGCGTGTTCGCAGTGACTCAGTTGTTCAGTCGTGTCTAGAAGCAGCGCTTTTTCGGTTCGTTCCTCCGTTCCGTTCCTCGTCGGCGTGGAGTGATGAGTGTGTCTGTGGGTGTGTTTCGCTGTGCGGTCGCTGTCTGCTCCTTGTGTGTTTGCGTGTTATGCAGGTGGTGCGGTTTCTTAGTTTAC